AGAACATAAATACGATAAAAGTTAACTAAGTAAAGGAAAAGAAATGAAAGGCATAAACTTGATATTAATGAAAACAAAACCTAAACATTACAAAAATACAAAGAGAGAAAGCAAAAGTATGATCTTGATCTGGAGACCAAGATACCTAAATACATGGCAAATGCGGGGCAAAATTAGGGATTATTGATTTGATGACTAATTAGTGAGTAGGTGGTCAACTCTTGACTTGGTGATAATCCTTATCTTTTTTTGTCTGCTCAAAACGTTATTGATAACATCAGAATTGGAACCACTTGAAAACATGAATGTTGTAGGAAATTGTCTCAGCTTTCCAGGAAAAAAAATAGAGGTCATTTGGATTTTTAGAACTCCAGATATGGGCCAAACACTGAACAGTGCTCATGCTATATGATAGATTCAAACTTCTTTGTTGTCGCTACAATTTGGACTTGAAAATGTCATTTTTAAATCTTGGACTCCATATGAAAGTTGTAAGCCTATATCTTACCTTTTCATCCATATAAAATAGACTTAAATCCGAGATCTACAGCTCCAGATATGATCCAATTACCGAACAGTGTTCTGGTTTCGACTACACCAATCTTTTCTAAGTTTGGTCATCTCTTTGTCCTTTCAATTTCAGTTCTTAAACTCATCAATCAATTCTTTTATTTATATGATAGGCCTGCATTTAAAATGAACATTTACCACAAATTAAAGGTATATTGTATTATTAGATATGTTATTATAAAATATATTTCAGTTAAGGAGTTATTGATATTTTGAATGCAAAATGATAATATAAAACCTTGATAAAAATGCATTTTTAAGTACTAATAAATTAATATTATAAATAGTATTTTTGGGTCAAGCGTTGTAGCTAGACCCAAGACTTTTGAGTATATCTTTGCAGAAAAACCTAACACTCTTAGATCTTAACTTTTTTTTATATTTTTTATGTAAGAAAAAAAATTAACCTGTGGCGTATGCTTTTATTTTTTTCTTTTTTCTTTTTCTTTTTAAGCTTTTTACTGTGAATAGCATAGTGCAATCCACAATGAAAAAACTAATATCTTTAGTTTATTTTTTTGTTTATAATTTCTTATTATTAATTTTTTTATTTAATTATTAGGCTTTCATGACACAGATCCTAGGTTTAATGGTTTAGCCCAGTTGATTTAGATTTTTTTCCTTTTCTTCATTAGTTTTTTTCCTTCGTGTAGGTATTTTTCTCTTTGATTTTTCCTTTTTAATTAATATTTTTAAAAAAATTTAGTTCATTAATATTAAATCTTTTTTCTATTTAGTTATCACACTTTCATGACACGAATTTCATGTTTGACGCGTTAACCAGATTTGATGAGTTAATCCAATTGATTCTGATTTTTTCTTTTTTCTCATTAGTTTTTTCTTTATGTTGGTTTTTTTCTTTGGTTTTTTAATTAATCTATTTAATTATCACACTTTTATGATACGACATTGCAATCAGTGCTACATCCAATGCTATCGGGTCTGGTATTGCAGCCAAACCCACTTAAACTTTGGTAATGCAAGTTTAATATTATTATTAATATTATAAATATTACTCTTAGATCAGACACTATAGCCAAACCCAAGACTCTTAAGTATAGCTTTACAAAAAGACCTAGCACTTTTAAATCTTAATTTTTTTTGATATTTTTTTATGCAAAACAAATTGACCTGCAACATTGTACGAGTCATGTAACTAGTAATATGCTAAGGCGTGTGAGGTTGAGGTATTCTGCTAAAACCAGAGCAACTAAAAGTTTGAGCGGGGTTCTTTTGTCATTTTAAGTTTGGACAGTTGGATCTGTTGACTCGGAAGAAGACAAAGGCATAATAGATAGCTAATCACATTGATGTGAACCAACACAATATAACACCGTACTAGTAATTTTTTTTAAAGATGATTGTATTAATTATAAAAGTTGCTACTTTCAATAATTTGAGTTGTTTATGTTTTTCTGAAAAATATTGCCATGACTATTTAACAAAAATAGCTAAATTTAATTATAAGAGGTATAGTTCAGCTAATCAAGTTTTAAATTTATTTTTTAGATATTAACAGTTTAAGTTTTATAAATTTTAAAGTCACTAGAGATTTATATAATTGTTAACTTCAGGATTCGTAAAATTAGTTAAGGTATATACAGTGATGGAGCCACATAGAGGCAAAAGGGAGCAATTGCCTCCTTAATCTTTTTTTTTTCAAAACATTTTTTATATTAAAATATTAATATAATAGCTTTACAAGGTTAATTTTCTTTGTTAGCTAATAAATTAATCTAAGCTCTTTTTTTTTCACTATTGTCTTTTTCCCTCTCTTTTCTATAAAATTTCTCTTTAAATCTTAAGCTATTAATTAGTTAAACAATTAACATCTTATACCTTTATGTTTTAAGGAAGTTTCCTTAATATTTTCTATTTGTTTTATTATTCAATTTTAGTTTTATTTCTTTATAATTAATTATTGAAAACGTTAGGATTTATAATAATTTATAGGTTTGTTGAATTAATATGTATATGGAAGAGAAACAATTATAATGTAAGTTTTAGATTAAAGTTTATGACAATCTTTTTAAGTTATAATTTTAGATGTTATATATTATATGTCAATATAGAATTACTGTCAAGAACTTCCCTAATCAGTTATCACACTTTCATGACATGAATTCCAAGTTTGACGGGTTAATCAGATTTGATGAGTTAACCCAATTGATTCTGATTTTTTCTTTTTTCTCATTAGTTTTTTCTCTATGTTGGTTTTTTTTTGGTTTTTTAATTAGTCTATTTAATTATCACACTTTTATGATACGACATTGCAGTCAGTGCTACATCCAATGCTATCGGGTCTGGTATTACAGCCAAACCTACTTAAACTTTGGTTATGCAAGTTTAATATTATTATTAATATTATAAATATTACTCTTAAATCAGACGCTGTAGCCAAACCCAAGACTCTTAGGTATAGCTTTACAAAAAGACCTAACACTTCTAAATCTTAATTTTTTTGATATTTTTTATGCAAAACAAATTGACCTACAACATTGCACGAGTCATGTAACTAGTAATATGCTAAGGCGTGTGAGGTTGAGGTATTCTACTAAAACCAGAGCAACTAAAAGTTTGAGCGGGGTCCTTTTGTCATTTTAAGTTTGGACAGTTGGATCTGTTGACTCGGAAGAAGGCAAAGGCATGATAGATAAGCTAATCATATTGATGTGAACCAACACAATATAACACTGTACTAGTAATTATTTTTAAGGATGATTGTATTAATTATAAAAGTTGCTACTTTCAATAATTTGAGTTGTTTATGTTTTTCTGAAAAATATTGCCATGATTGTTTAACAAAAATAGCTAATTTTAATTATAAGAGGTATAGTTCAACTAATCAAGTTTTAAATTTATTTTTTAGATATTAACAGTTTAAGTTTTATAAATTTTAAAGTCACTAGAGATTTATATAATTCTTAATTTCAGGACTCGTAAAATTAGTTGAGGTATATACAGTGGCGGAGCCACATAAAGGCAAAAAGGAGCAATTGCCCCCTTAATCTTTTTTTTTTCCAAAACATTTTTTATATTAAAATATTAATATAATAGCTTTACAAGGTTAATTTTCTTTGTTAGCTAATAAATTAATCTAAGCTCTTTTTTTTTCACTATTGTCTTTTTCCCTCTCTTTTCTATAAAATTTCTCTTTAAATCTTAAGCTATTAATTAGTTAAACAATTAACATCTTATACCTTTATGTTTTAGGGAAGTTTCCTTAATCTTTTCTATTTGTTTCATTATTCAATTTTAGTTTTATTTTTTTATAATTAATTATTGAAAATGTTAGGATTTATAATAATTTATAGGTTTGTTGAATTAATATGTATATGGAAGAGAAACAATTATAATGTAAGTTTTAGATTAAAGTTTATGACAATCTTTTTAAGTTATAATTTTAGATGTTATATATTATATGTTAATATAGAATTATTGTCAAGAACTTCCCTAATTCTTCTTAGAAGGTTTAGAAAAAGATAAATGAAAGTTTGTTGTATATATTAAGAAAAATATTTTTTATGAGATTACAAATATAGTCATTATGAAACAGTTTTAAAATACAAAATCTCAAAGAAAATAATTATGATATAAGTTTTTTCATTTTAAATATATTCTTAAATTAATTTTGCTTGACTTGAATTAGTACATATATTTTAAATTAATTTCTCTATATAATATATGTCTATATAGTATATAATATCACATATTTATTAGTAATTTATCCTCTTATTTAAAAAACTTAACTTCACCTTTAGGTATATATAAATTGGACAGATTTCAACAATAATAATAATAATAAAAAAGATAATAATAATAATAAAAAAAAAAAATAGTTAAACTTGTGTGACAAGGAAACCTCCAAGAAATTTAATTTACATAAAGCAATCTTAAGAAGGGTTAGCATCAATTTAATATTGCTATCGATTATATATCAATTTAATATTAATATGCTTAATCTAAAATCTCGAAAAGAGAGAGAGAGAGAGAGCTTATCTAAAAGAATAAAAATAGTTTCAATGAATTTATCCTAGATTCATTGATCGCGTCTAACGGAACCGACACCTGATTAATTAATTAAATCACTGTCCTGTCCTCGTCAGCCTACTTGAAAAACATTCATTGCTTTATCTAAAAGCTTTGTCGCATTATCTTCTAAGTATTTTTTTATATATGTTTCAATCGGATCCTTTTATCAATTTGTATTAACAGTAATTAGTTTCATTAATTGGATTGGGGAGGGGACGCTTTCATGCATGCTCCACCACTGCAACGGTTCTCTTTTAATTTTATTTAATGTGTATTTTATCCAATAAAACGAAATTTCTTCTATATAAAAATTTAATTCAAGTCTACCATATACTTCATGCTTCGGTCTCTTCAGTGTAGAACACAACCCTATTGCTTTCGGACCTAATTGATAATTATTGTATACATCAGGTACTAAATTTGAGGTTTTCCATAAAAAAAAAAAAAACAAATTATACTGAAGAAAGCAGAGGGAGGGAGAGAGAGAGAAGAAATCCAAACGATGGCAGAAGAAGGGAAATCAGATGCACAGCTCTTTCAGCTCCTCTCCAATCTCCTCCAACAAGTAGGTTTCTTTTCCTTTTCATAGTGATTTTTTTCCTTATTTCTTCTATTAATTAATTTAATTGTATGTTTTACTTTTCTTAATTCTTGTGTTGATAATTGTTTGATTTCGGGTGTTGAAGAATGGGGATTTGACATTGATTGAGCATCTGGGGATCAATGAAATTGGGTTTTTATTTTTATGATCTATTGAAATTTCTGATCTGGGTTTTCTCTAGCTGTGTCTTTTATTTCTGATTTGATGGTATTTGCTTGAGTTTGTTGACATTCACAAGGTCTATTCTAATTCTTGATTACGAAAAAGAAGAAGAAATCACTAAATATTGTTAATCTCATTACATTTCTCACCTATTGGATTCAGGAATTATTTGAGAATTATCCCAAGCTCTCGTTTTAGAGACGTGCAAAATTTGATTTTGGTTTAGTTTTGTACATGTACTTGAAGAAATGGCCTGTACATCGTGTTCTTATAGTTTCAAATATGCTTTTATCCAAGGATCTCTTGGAGGTTTACGCAACTGAATTGCCTTCAGAGAGCAAATAAGTGCTCAAGGAACGTCATAGAACGAAGCCTTACATAGGAGCAGGATTCCGTGGAATGTTAATAAATACATGGGGTAGCAGCAGTTGATGCTTATTATGCAATAAGAAGCTGCATTTGATATGCTCCATGGAATGTACCAATGAAGTGAACTTGTTTTTGTAATTCCGGAGTTTTTATTTTGCACGCACTGTGTCGGTTGTATTGTGGTGGGAAGCGTGCCTTATTAGCCTCTTTTAGCATGACTGTCTTCCCCCTTCCACCTGCTGCTGAAAAGTTTTTGGCTCTGAAATTCTCCTCGAAGGACCAGCGTGTGTTAACTGATCACAATGTCCAATTTTCCTCATGCAACTTGGTATTGTTCTCTCTTGTAAATTCGAGAGATGCCCATATAAAGAGCAGCCTCGTTTTTGTGATGGAGTTGAAGACGCAGTGTATGATCATGACAGGCTTAAGGGGAATCTCTCTATGGGCCGGTCTCCAGTTACAAATAGGACACAGGGCATAACTTAATTGCTGCTTAAGATTTATCTCTCGGTCCTATGAATTTTTGATGTTTTGTCAGTGTTTCTTTTCATTCACTGGTCTCGTTAATCTAGGTGGAAGCGCAATCAAACGAGGAAGAAGTTGAGCTGCGCTCCAAAATTGAAGCACTTGGATTAGAGGTTGCAAAACTTCCATCAAGGTCGACAAATAATCTTGATGAGGTACAATAAAGTCCTTGCTTTACTTTTTTCAGATGTTATAAACCCCAACCCCCAAAAGTAATGTTCCCCTTCTAGAGTATAACCATAAATCTTTTAAGAGTTTGCTTAATGTGGGTGCTTTGATTTTATCAATAGCTGGAAATAGCGAGAGAGTTGGATAAATTATCAGCCAAGTTAGATGACGTGGATGAAATGATATCCTCGGCCCTGGCATCAGATCCACAGGTGCAGTCACTCTTAAGTGACACTGCTGATGTATGGATGCCAGTTATTACTGCTAACGCTGATGAACGTCGGAATTTTACTGCATCAGTCGGCAATGATAAATCCGAAGAGAAAGGAGAAAATCCCAAATAATTCTTGCAGGCTTGTTCTTATGATTTTAGTTTCTGCTTTCAGTTCTGAAATGACACTGTTGTATAACCTTTTATGTTTCCCTATATTTCTAATAAATTTTTATAATAATTTGCAGTTTTTAGTGGAAGATCTTTTTTTTTTGTTGTTTTCAAAGCAGTTTTTAGTGGAAGATCTTTTTTTTTTTAAAAAAAATTGTATTAAAATATATTTTTTAATTATTTTTAACATCAAATCATTAAAAAAACACTAAAAACAATATTAATTTAATATTTTTTTTAATAAAAATATACTTTTAAAACACAACAAAATCTAACACACTTCTAAAATCTCACTTAACATTCCCTTTTTAACAATAAAACATCATGCATTGGCAAATGTACCATTGAGCAGGCCACTGGTACCAGAAGGACAAGTCTTTTTAACAATAAAATATCATGCATTGGCTAAGCAGGCCACTGGTACCAGAAGGACAAGCTAGCTCTCTGGATTATCACATTTAAATATCGTCTTGTTGCTTAGTCATCTTCCTTCTTAAATCGGTGCTATGACACCCGTTTCTCTTTTGTTCTTCTATAAGTCCATAGCGCCTCAACATCAGGCCCCTATATAAGATGCTAGATAAATTAAAGCTTCCCATTGATTGTTCTCTGTACATCAACTTAGCTGGGGTTGCAAGCTAGTTCCTTGACAGGAGGAAAAAAAAGTCTCAGGCTAGTTCTTAACAGCTACTTGACACTAAATGCATCAACTGTATTATTCTGTTATTGGGGTTTTTTCAAGTTTCAACTAATTGTTTGCTTATTCTGTTATTGGGGTTTTTTCAAGTTTAAACTAATTGTTTGCTTCTTTTTTTTTTTGTTCTTTGAAAAAAAATCTAGAGCACTTGTTTGAATCCAGGTGGAGTGATTGCAGACTTGCAGTTACAAGTACAAACTTTTTAGGGTCAACCTAGTTCTCCATTCACATGTCCAAACTCCTGACATACGTGGTTTCTTGTGTCCTTGTTGAGTAGAAGTCAACCTTCTGCTCCGAAAATGAACAGTACAATATTCGATCTACTTGAAAAGCGGCACCTTAACAATTAGACCAAACAGCCACATTATGATAGATCCAAAAACCCAACATAAGAGGCAAAAAACTAGGAATCCTGCCAAAATAGTTAGGAATGGAGGACCTCGGGCATCATCGCTGGATATTGCCCCGCCGGATTTCTCTTCACTGGAATCTCCATCAGAAGGGCTGGAGTTTGAAGCAAACACAGTATATAACCTTGTCCTTAACTGCAATCTTAAGGCATCTCCGAATCTGGACCCAAAAGAAATTAAAATACTTGATATAAATTGGAAAGGCATTGGTTTGAGCAACAGCACACAAGTACTTCACCAACTGATGTGCACACACAAACATGTAAAACAAATATCTCATTTGAAAAAGCTACGAGCATAAGATATTAAGTCTTGGATACAATTCGGACAGTTTGCTAACTTTCAAGCTATAATCAACATCTTAGCCTCACTGCTGCTTTCTTCATGCAGCTACCATGTGGTTCCATCATTTTGTAATTACAGAATAATCCAAAAGAATTTGAAATTCATCATTTCATACATATGGGATAGTGATATAATCCACTCAACAACATACCAAAGCATATCAAAGTAAGTCTTCATGAAGATATTAAAATAATCAAATGTCACTGGGCATTTTAACAAATGAGTTCATATCCCTTGATCAACCAAATAGGCCTTCTCCAAAAGGAGTTAACATGTCATTAAAAAAAAAAAAAAACTATATCCATAGACAACATCCAAAAGGTCAGAGATATAGATGCAATCCAATCAAAACTTCCATTTTTCTTCTCTTTAGTGTATCTTCCGGCAACCAAACTGTGTGACTAGAATCCAACTCTATTGGTTAACCCAAAGCATAATTAGCATATAGAACAAAAAAGTATAATCAAATAGAACATTGGAGGAGCTTGAGAAATTTGTAGTGTTGTAAAGAGCAAGCCATAATAGCACATTAGTATTGTTACAATATTCAACACAAACTTATAACCCAGCTAGCACAGAGATATAAGGGCCATTGAAGACCTCAGCACTTAATCAGTGCCAAATTTAATCGGTATCAGCTTAAGCACATACTTGATAACAAGAACTAATGAGTTAGCCTAATACATGGTCTCAATGCAGAGGAGACGGTGACAAATATCATTCTCATACCAAGCAAGGATATACAATCCAAGAGTTTACACGGCCATTTGGCCCCACAATTTAGCCACCGCACAACTAATAACGTGGAAAGAGTAGGTGGAGAAACTCATATGGAAAGTTATCCGTGACCATAGCAAACAATATACATAAAAAAATATTAATTATTCGACATGTATTTAGGTGAAAAAGTGAAGAGGAAGGGTGGTGCAACAATTTATTGGGACATTTAGAGCCATGATGTGGATTTCATGTTCACAAGCACATCATCCATGAATTGACACAAAGCATAGTAATTCCACAACAGTTAACAAATAAATTTACTTGAAAATTTTCTTCTCATGCATCTTAGAATCAGCATTATATTGTGATAATTATCAGTTGCTCCAAATAATACCAGGCGAGATGCCTAAAAGAAGTATGTTTATAGTAACATTAATTAATCTGTTATGCAATTTTCAAATAAAATATAAAACAAAATCCAGAGTTTGTGATAAATACACATTCAATCCACGGGCTTGAATGAGTGATTTTCTAGGATCACCTTTCCAAAGATGCAAGATTTTGTAATCCCTAGAGATGTCAAAATAATAATCATAAACCTTCAAATAAGTTTTCTATATAAGCTCTCATTCAAGGCCACCAAATGCACCTTGTTCCATTTTCATCCTAGTTCCATTTTCATCCTAGACCCCTTCAAATAAGTTTTCTATATAAGCTCTCGTTCAAGGCCACCAAACGCACCTTGTTCCATTTTCATCCTAGACATTTGCTTCTTTCTCAATGGAAAAGAAACAACACGAGAGCGTCCTTTTCAAGGTAAGTGATTACTATGCCTAAATGAAATTTAAATCATTTTCAGAATCCTCAATAGAGTTTGCTACTTCTTAATATGTTTTGCTTATTGTTAGTATCAGCGTGCACGAGGTAAGCAACCCCAAATGATTGCAAACAAAATTCGAATGTGGGAAGAATTGACGGAACCTGCGACGAAAGATTTTATCAGTCTGATTAATGCTAATGACAGCAAGAAATGTGCCAACACATGTCCTAAAAGTAAGAAAGGAAAAGCTTTTGATCTGAATAAAAAACCACCAGAGAAGGACTGTGACGTAGCTTCAAGCTCTAATCATCAGGAATCAAACAAAGTTGAGCTACCTCTGTCAAAGGACAATTTGGATCTGACATTGCGACTATGCTCTGTTCATGCTTTGCCCTCATCGACATCTTGCAAGAGTACATGACCTAATCTTTGAGGTTTTCGAATGATTTTTTTCAATATTCAAACAATGGTAGTAAACACATCCAACTTTCTGAAAGAGATTGCTAATACAAACAATGGTAGTAAACACATCCAACTTTCTGAAATTCTCTTCCAATTGCTAATGATATTAGATTTCAAATTGTAATGGGGAAAAAGAAATTGTTCAGAGCATTACTTGATTATTTAGCAATATGTATTTGTATTTTAAGAACACCAATAATTAATCAATTATATATATATATATAAAAAAGCAAAAGAATAAGGAAGCCAAGATCTGATCCACTCATGCTGCCAATGTATGTGTCCTAAATTGCTAACATTTGCTATCAATTTCAAATGGTTAAATGCACCTCTAAAAGTACCAGGATCAGATCTCACACTTACAGAAATGACTTGTGTATTCGCAATTCATTCAATAATTGTTCAACAAATTGAGTCATCAAAATCACATTGATTACAATGCTACCTTTCAAACTCAATCAATAAGAACTAATACTTTTCAATACCATTCCTTTTTTATAATCCAGCACTCACCATTCCCAACTCCTTTACAAGCACTTGCAAACATTCAGTGTAGCTTTAGAAAATGGCAATGTTGTCATTCGAAAACACCAATATAAATTTCAAAGATCTGAAGTTTCGTCCCTGAAAATGAAATCATGTTCCTTTTTATTTTCTTTGAACCACCAGGATATAAACTGATATACAGAATATAACTCTTCACAGCTTAAACCAAGTGCCTAAATCCAAGAAATAATGCATGCCCACAAGTGGGTTTCTACTTCAGAAGCACCAAACTACTCACTCTCTTATTTATCTAATGAGCAAAAGAAGAAAACCCAGGAAATATAAAATACTATAAAACAAAGAAACAGCTGCAAAAGCATTGATAGGCATGCTGACTAAGAACGAAACAAAAAAAGAAGCAAACTTTTGGAGATTATGAACACCTGAAACTGAGAGGGGTTTGAGAGCGGCTGCTGCCAAGTTTGATAGAGTGAAAATGAGGTATGCAACTGCAACCATTTGGACTATGAAACCCATGGATCAGTTTGGGAGAAGAAAAGGAAGAAGCCATTTTTATTCCCTTTTTACTACCGATGGAAATATGATAATGGAATTATTAAGAGCCATAAAAAAATATTCGAGGGATTTGATGAAGGTAGAATAAATTAGTCTTTCTTTAGTCCCTATATTTCAAGTGTGATTATATCTTACTACCTCATATTTGCAAACCCATAACTATATTTCTAATGAAACTGGTTAAAAAATAGTGTAGTAAAAGACTTTTATTTCCTCTAGTTTTTATTATAAATTATTTTTTATAGATCTTCCTAGATAACACAAATATAAAAACTACTCATAAATAAAAAAATAATATTTAATAACACTATATAATTAGCATATACAGTTAACATTCAGATTTAATAAATATTATTTACTGGGTTGATTAAACAATTTTAAGAGCACAAAGAGATAAATGAAAGAATTTAAGAAAAAAAATAAAAAATAATAATTGATTGAATTAAAATACACAGATAAAATAAATAAACAATTGACACACAATTGATCAATTAAGCTTAGGATGCCCATTAAACTGAAAGTGTGATCAATGGGGGAGTACTAGCAAATCAGCTGCCACAATCTCTCTAACAAAACCCTTTCACACGCAACTCCTAGTCACTCTCTAATCAAAATCAGCTGCCACAATCTCTCTAACAAACCCCTTTCTTGCATATTAATTCATGCAACTCCTAATCACTCTCTAATTTATTCTTTTGATTTTTTATAAGTTGAATGATTAATTAAATTCTATATCTTGGTTTTCAACATTTTCCTCTTCCTAGCTTAAACAGATACTTAACAGCAAATTAAGCCCTCCATGGAAGAAGTACCTGATCCTCGACTTGGATTGACGTTGTCTTCCGATCTGATACAAGACCCTACTTTGCTCATCTCCTTTCCTACGGAGGGTCAAAGAAGACAGCAATTTTATTGAAAATCGTTCCAGAAAGGTTCTTGCCATGCCATATCATTAAATATTCTTGTTTGAAATAGACTTGACTCGTTTATTTATTTTACAATACAGAAGGATAGAGCAGTTGTTGCGGCCGGAGACGCTGTTTATTACATCAAACAACTTGTCCGAACAGTTGATGAACTCAAACAACTGGTGGGGAGAACGAAAGTGAAGAAATGTTGGGTTGTCGACGTTGATACAAAGCCTACTGTTCTTGGATCACGGTATAGTCATTCGTGCAATAATATTAATGATGGATCAAAATCATTTTCTAAGAAGCTTACTGAAGATACAGAGATAGATGTTCACATTATATAGTTGATGAAGTTATCATTAAGTCCTTCGCCGAAAGAAGAAGAACATTAATCATTGCTTGCTGTCTGTGTCCAAGGTTCTTGATGAGCTTCATTTAGATCTCCGGTTTGTTTCCGGTCACTACATTGGCTGCGATAACTATTATTTTCAGTTGAAAACCAAGGTCTGGAACGAACATTAATTGCCATAACTGCATATGTTGTTATTATGAAATTTAACTTGGTCTGCTTATGTTGCGAATGTACTTTGAATTGCTTGGCAGATAAATGAAGGATCAAGTGCTGATACGCTTACAATAACCGATAAGTTGACTGAGGTTCTGGACAGCCGTTGTTCTTAATAGAGCAGGACAAAGAAATTATGGTTTTGAAGGCGATGCTCTTATATGTTAACAAATCATCATGCTTAGATTGAGCACTGGGAATGTGCTGATTAAGGCTTGATGACATGCTATATATCAATTTGCTCTGATTGGATCTCGTGGCTTTTGTTGCCTCTGTTGCTTGGAGTTCATCGTAGATGCATACCCGCGTTCTAGCACCCGCTCTCCAAAGTCCATTCCACAAAACTTGTCTGCCCCACTTCGGGATGATGGCTTAGAACACCTAAAATTAATGCAAACACAATGCATTAGCATCCCATTATAAGTGTTTTGTCCCAACCGAAACAACAACTAGAGGAAAATGAGGATTTGCCAGGTGAACAAATTAAATTAATAAAAAATATGCAGGGGATGAGATCATAATTTTAAAAACCAGCCCGGTGCAAGGCTTGGGTTTCGAGTTTTGACTGGGTTATTAGGTCGGCCGAGTCAAATTTTATTTTTTAAAAAAATTAAAATAATATTATTTTAATAAAAAATAAAAAATCAATGAGTTTGCAACCAGATCTTACAGGGTTAACCATGTCTTAGGTCATATTAAGCTTTTATTTTTATTTTTTTTAACCTGACTTGATTCCAATCCTGGATTGACCGGGTTTTAAATCAACTTAACAGTCGGGCGGAGTTTCAATACTCTGGATGAGAAATCACACGAAAATACAAGAGATAATTTATAATTTAACAAAATAAAAAATCAATGAGTTTGCAACCAGTTCTTGACCGGGTCTTACAGGGTTAACCATGTCTCAAGTTATATCAGATTTTTATTTTTATTTTTTTTTAACTTGACTTGATTCCGATCCTGGATTGACTGGGTTTCAAGTCAACTTAACAGGCCGGGCGGAGTTTCAAAACTCTAGATAAGAAATCACACGACAATACAAGAGATAATTTATAATTTAACGTGGATGGATTGTAATAGTAAAATTATATTTTTTTTTGTTACTTCTCCAAATCAAGTCAGAAGATTAAGTTCATGGATTAAATAATATTTTCCATGTGATTCATTTGGTGTTCTTATTTTTAATGAGAATACAAACGTATTTTATCTTTTTTTTCTTAAAAGTGAAAAACCTTCTCTGCTTTTAAAAGAAACACTCGCATATTTCGTTCCCAGAGGCTTTTTGAGATTTCATGTGTTTTGCATAATTTAATTACTACCTTACACATGATTTCATAATTAAATAATCCTTGCTGCAGGGGCATTTGTGTGTTTTCATTATTCTAGGCATAGTGAAATCACAAAATTAACCTTTATCCTGGAACTTATTTAGGCTTGATTAAAGGATAATTTCATGTTTTTACATGGTTTTTTTTTTTAGTTATAAGCAGGTTAATTGAGGAGTAGATTAATCTTTTAAAGTAATTAAAGAAAAATTGTTAGATGTATAAGAGATGCCGCCGCATTTTAGTGGTGTGTGCGTCTTTATACGATGACCAAAATAATTTTTTAGTTGAGTCATTAGATTTCTCATGACATTCTCTTTCATATTAAAGCGATGTATGTTTATTTTTAATTGATGGATTGTTATCAGAAACATTTTTTTTCTCTTTTCTCTCCTCCCTTTGATATTCATGCATGGCATTTAAGATCTCAAAACAATCATATTGGTCGGGTATATTTGTGTATCGGTTCTATTCTTTTTTTGAATTTTTTTGTGGTTGATTTTTTTTAATTTTATTCTTTAACAATTTATTTTTTTTAAATTGAAAATTATGGTTTTTTCGAATATGATACTTTCAATCATATGACCTAGGTCATGAGTTTTGTAAATTGACATGGTTTTCCATATTTTCTTTTAGGCTTTTTTTCTTTTTTGGTATCATTACTTGATGTTGGTTTTAAAAAGAATGGGCTTCATGGTATTCTTCTTTATCTTTTTTATAGATTTATCCAGATTTTATGAGTTGGCCATTGGTTTGACGAGTTAACTTAGGTGGTTAGCGTTTATTTTTTTTTTTTATCTTTTAATAACTATTTTTTTGGATCATTTTATATTATTGATTTTTTTAATTTAATTTTTTAATATTTAATTTATTAAGAATTGATCTTTGTGGTTTTTTCATATCTAGAGTTTTCGATCAAATGGCCCGAAACACGGGTTTTATAAGCTAACAAGGGTTGGCATCGTGTTTTTTTATTTATTTTTGTCCCATATCATAATTTGACATTGGTTTTTTTAAAAACTAGGTTTCATTATTTTTTTTTCATTTCATTGTAGTGTTATCTCGATTTTATAACTTGACTCGAGGTGGACTCAAGCTTTTTTGGCTTATAATTATTATTTTTCTAATCCTTTCCATGTCATAATTCAACATTCAACATTTTTTTAATAAAAAAAATAGGTTTCATTATTTTCTTCATTTTATTTTTTATCATATTATTTCAGTCTCATAACCTAATTTATATATTAAGCGGGCCGACCCAAGTAGTTTCATATTTTTTTTAACTTATAATTGCTAATTTTTTTTTGTATGTTTGATTTTTTTTTAATTTAATCTTTCTACATAATTTTTTTACTTTTTTTTTTCATTGTTCAATACTGTTATTTTTTTTGGCTTTAAGATGTGATTTTATCGACTGAATATTATTATTATTATTATTATATTCAACCTGCAGCAAAACACAGGCTGGATTCCAACCATTGATGAGGTGTGCATCAATGTTAGTCTCCATGGCCAGCTAACTTGATATATTTAGGAGGGTAAGAGTTGCCAATCAGCTCAAAAGCAGGGGATTTTTTTTCACCGTCTTGAATGGGTCATGAAATGTGGCATCGGAGAGCTTATGGCTCGATGTCGAGGACTCCTGTACGTTCCATTAGTTCTACTCTACACTGGCAAAGTGTTTCCCCATTACACCTTTTAACCAAGGAGAGCATTCCACCTAATACATGACTGCTAATAGAGACCTCGAGAGGACAGGTTCATATTTCATGACGAACCCATGCAGATGATTGCAGATAGTTCTAAACATGGTAGCTTGCATTAGATCGACGTGAGAACCAACGCAACTCATTTATCCATTTCTCCTCTTTGATTGTGTTTCAAGTCCACCAGCATTATATATTAAGCAAAAGCTTCAACACGATCAGAGACATGGAATGTCAATGACCAACGATCATATCAGGAGAAATGAGAAAGTTAGATTTTATCACATCCAGAAATACAAAAAGGTGTTGAAGAAAGAGGCTTAGCTCTGTGGGGGCTGATTTAAAAACGAAAATAGACAGGATTAGGCTAACAACAAATCCAGCCAGAAGGCCAGGTGAGCGGGTAGTGAAAACTAAGACCAAAAGGAGTGTCATGTGAGTCAAAAGGAAATGAGCAACACAGCACTATTTTATTCAACGGGCTCCATGAAGCTTTGATTCATGTCATGACTTTACTCTCAACAAGCTTCACTGTAAAAAGTTGGTATCGATCAAAATGAAACTTGGGGCAGTCACCTAGCTGTAACCGCAAATTTTGCAGAAAAAACTTGACACCTGAGTTTGAAAACGCCTGGAAATTTGACTACGACGGAACTCATTAACTTTACACCAGTCCTCTATCCAACACGAAACTCGTGTTTCTGATAAATTATTACTGAGGAAAACAGGATGGCATTCTTCTTCAGTTGTCAGGAGCTTTCTTGCAGTGATTCTCAAGCAATTCCATTGTAACACTCTTTGGCCTCTCCAGCGGCAATCCAAGAGCTCGATCCCATATCAGCTGAATGAACAAAAGTGTATCGGTAAAATCTAAGGCACCAAACAGGATCACAGAAAATGATAATGACTGTAGAACAAACCTGAGAGCAAATGCCAATACTCCTTGATACACCGAAAAGTACAGTATAGTACCTATCAAAAAGCAATTTAAAGGAGCGTTATCATCTTTCCTCATAAGTAATGTGGTTGCTATTGAAAAGTCAATGTGGTATTATATTATTCAAAGAAACATAAATGGAATACCTAGCTTCAGTTAAACCGTAGTAGTTCAGCAACACCCCACTGTGAGCATCAACATTAGGCCATGGGTTTTTAACCTGAAAGCAGAAATAAAATCCCTATTAGAATAAGAAGCCACTCCCAGATAGGATTGCAGGACCATCAGAATTTGCGAGCAATTGGATCCATGGACAAAAATACAAACGATATTCTTACTACCTAAAAGACAAGAGCATTATTCTATGTCATTTATATTTTCAGCCTAGAGCAAAAGGATAAACAACTTGCCTTGCCCAGCTGGGTAAGAACTGGAGGCACAACTTCATATAGCTTAGAGACCTGTTAAGGTCAAAACTAGGTTAGCTAGTGAAAGAATTGTCAACGGGATTAAAAAAACCATGTGTATTAAAAAGGCATGGCCTTGTTAATGTAACATGATCAGGATAAAGTTACAACCAGCTGGAACAATGGATCATCAGGTAAATGCTTCAATGCAAACTCCCTTTGACATGTATATCTTGGATCAGTTTTGCGTAGAACTCCATGACCAAATCCAGGAACAACCTGCAAAATAAGGGAGTGGTGAATGAAGAGAAATGTGTGAATTAAACACAACAAAAGCAGAAGCAGGACTATTGTGAAGTAACAATGTGAGAGGAACTAAGATACTTATAGATTCTGAAAAGCATCTGCCAACTGTTCTTATTTCAAAATGACATAAACTACCTTTCCGCTATTTAATGTTTTCCAAACATAGTCTTTAAGTTGTTCTGTGGTTATATTCTCTCCACACTCTTCTACCACGGATTTGATCCAAAGGAGAACTTCCTGCAACCACAAAATTCTGATGAGCAAGAAGAGAAGCAATAACAATCATCTACGGCAGAAAGAAAGTGATGCCAGCATTCAAAGGAACTTGCTTTTTGTAATAGATTACACAGTTGGTGATCTTGATGTTAGAAATAAATGTGAAAAAACCCTACACAGATAGCAAGAGAAACATTTTGGTTTATAAATCTATATTTGGTAAAAAGAAAAGAGAGGCAAACATGAGCAACAAATGCCTGATATACTGGTTAAGTTTTATAAGATCTCCTCATTTTTATATTAACAAGTGATTTAGTCTCAATATCACTCATTGACTTCGTACTTACAATTTGCAGAAAGGTTTTTTTTTTCTTTCTTTTTTTATATATGAATTGCTCCATCCAATGGTTTTCAGTGAAGTATTGCCTATAAATGAGAAACTCTTATTGCCAGACATGGTTTCCCGCCCATTTGCATAGATATGTGACTGTGTTCGGGCATCTTTGCTTTTGCAGTTGCTAAGGATATGTGACAGTTTGAGTGTCTATAGCCAATACCAAAACAATCAGAACTTCTAGAAAGCATTCTTGAGTCCAGATTTTTGCTTGTCTTTAGTTCAAAAATACAACGCAAGTTGGGTACCTTATAATCTAAGAGATCCATAACTTTTAAGTTGCATATTTAGAAATCAAGCTCATTGTCAAGTGTCAACAACTAGAAATCTTTAGGGTAATATGATAGTGCCCACAGAAAGGGACAGCCTAAGACTTTTGGTCCTTGTTCTTAATATATCTTCTTCAGCACCAGCTAAAATGTTGATCCTACTCCAAAGCCCCAGAACAGAAGAAGAAAGGACATCAACGAAGAATAGAGAGTAAGCTGGATCAGAAGATAGGACTTAAGCTGCCATACCTGATTTGCCAAGCCATGGAGTGGCCCAGCTAAACCATTCAATGCAGCTGCAAATGAAAGATAAGGATCTGAAAGTGCACTAGCAACCTGAACACAGCACAACATTGATTCAAGGAAAACCATATGCATTAGCATTTAACTGGATAAGAAGCCATACACAATACCCCTCCCTTCCCACCAAAAAAAAAGTGGGGTGAGTAGGTGAAGTCCTGAAAGTGCATAACTTGAGTAACTTACCAGGTGACCAGTATGAGCACTGACATTCCCACCTTCATGGTCACTGCATCACATTAAGAAAGGAATGAAAAATTAGCATGATAAAATGCTTCTATGTTTACCACATGCATCACATGAAAGTCAATAGAATTTTATTCAATCCAAGTAAAGAACAAGATATACAAACCTATGGATTGTAACATAAAGCCTCATAAGCTCTTGCATTTCAGGACTATCAAATCCCAACATGTGTGAAAAATTTCCACCATAATCCAAAGAATCATTCATAGGAATAACTTTCCCATCTTTGTAAATTCTTCAAGAAACACGATAGATCAAGGAAATTAAAATCAATTTCATGAAATGTAATATTATAAGCACAGTGAATTAAGTCCCGCATAAAACACCCAACTACCAGAAATTTGTGTCTGTGAGAGAGAGAGAGAGAGAGAGAGATTTTGAACGCTCATAGATTTGCAAAAGTGGCTTAAGGATGAAAATATTCACAGAGAGTTCTTGCTCAAGAAAAAAAAATTATCCCCACAATACAGGAGCAGCGAAAGTTTTCAAAACACTACATTCAACACCATGCCCCAGCCTTTTCTGATGCTATCAGGCACAATATGCAAGGTTGAATGCTGTATAAAATGCTCACTGACCTTCGATAAATATATGAAGCTACTACTGGCACACGAGCAATCAGACTAAGAGAATCCTCATAAGTTGGCTCCCAGTACCTATGAATTTACATTGTTATAACACCAGCATGACACATATAATACTAATAAATGAGGAGAAAAATCCTAAAAACCTTACTTTGATTTATGAATCCCTTTTTCATAGGCTTTTTGAAATTCACTCTGAACCTGAAAGACCATCAACAAATACAAAAATACACGTCAACTAACACTATTTAATGTGTCTTCTTCCGGATAATATGTTAAATTATTCAGTTAACTTTCCCCACTCCATAATTTTATCTCTTTGAGCCTCAATTGGTCACGCATGACACAGATAAGCTCTCAAAAAGTCATATTAGAAAATCAAAAACAATAATGGTCATTTTGAATTAACTGAACTGTGATGATAAATACAATCTAAGCAATGATAAAAGAGGACAGAAGGTGGGCCACACACACACATATATATATATATATATATATAATGGTGTCAGAGCATTTCTCTACCTGTAGGGCCATAACACCAGTTGCAAACTGAGTCATTGGATGAGCAGTGACAGGTAGGGCATCAATGGCCTTAAAGACATAATCTGCAACCAAGAACAAGAGGTCATTCGCCATGCTAATCATTAATGCAAACAAAAGAATTAATAGTTCTGGGTCAATAAACAGTTGAAAATCAATGAGGGATGCATTGAACAGGACCAGCTGCCACAAGAAATATACTGTGCCATCCAGCTGCTATAAAACTTATTAGCAGTGCAATTTCTCAAAAAAAAAAAAATCTATGGACCTGGAACAGAGGCACGGTCACGCAATTCCTTTGATAAGGCACCGACTTGCTCTTTGGTTGGTACCTAAAACAAAAGATGAGAAGAAATGCTCAATGATGGTGAGAGAAAATTTTTTCCAGAGACACGAGATTAAGATAACTTATGATGTTGTGTACCTTTCCCGTTAAAAGAAGCCAAAGAAGACCCTCTGGCAAAGGTTCCCCACCAGGCTTTGCAGCTGGCAACAATTTTTGGCATTCAGGAATTGACATGCCCCTAAAGCGAATTCCCTGAGAAACAATGCACAATAACTGAAATGTGATGCGAGCCCATAGTAGATTTTTTAGGTCTACTTATTTTGGGAAAAAAAAATAGTGGGCTTAATTTTATTATTCTAGTTTCCAATTTCTATTATGACTAATCTAATGCACCTAGCACTTTTATGTGAACCATGACTCATGTTTTACACCAATTTTGTCAAGGCTTGTCTTCATCTTGAAAGATTTCCTAAAAATTCTTTAAAGAAGCTCCATGCTCAAGCCATGGGTCCCTTTTCTGTTTTGCACAAAATTGGATCTAATGCTTATTTACTTGATTTACCTAATGAAATATTAGTGCAACTTTCAATATGGAGGATTCAACACCTTAATGAGGTGCTTTTGAGCCTCTTACTTTGCCTCTAGTGTTTTCACAGGTAGTCATGAGCCTAAAGCACCGATTGTAACACAACCTTCATATGAGATTGAGCGTGTTGGATCATGAAAATGTTGCTTCTTCTAGTGGTGGTTTTCAACGTTTTCTTGTTAAATGGCATGGTCATCTAGATTCTGATGCTACTTGGATTTCAGAGATTGGCTTTTGTGCATTGGATCCTGAACTTTTGGACTTTCATCTTCAGAAAAACTCTCCGGAGTCAAGTTCTTTTCAACCAAGGGAGAGTAATGCGAGCCCATGTAGTGGATTTTTAAGTCTACTTATTTTAGAAAAAAATAAATATAGGCTGTGATTTTATAATTCTAGTTTCCTATTTCTTTTAAGTGCCTATAAATTATTGACTGAAATAAAGACTGTGTATCTCTCTTGATCTGGTTTCTTTAAGATCAAGTGTGTCTCTCTTGTTGGTGATTTTTTGTTTCTATTCTACATCAATGCTCTGGTTTTGATGATTTTTCTCTTGTTCTACATCAAAATGACAAAAACTTTGCGAACAAATTGTTTAAAATAAGAGAAATAGAATAGTTTATGATGACTGATTAATTAATATTTATCCATACCTCATCTGGATCAAGTAATGAAGTCTCCCACAGTAATCCAGTCATTCCTCTCATCCCCCCAAGCACCTTACCAATTCAGTGAACAAATAATTCAATCAGAAGTTACACAACAAATAACAACTGTTATATTAATAGAAATTAAACAGAATTGTGACTTATTGATCTAAAAACAAACAGCAAAAGCTCAGAACTATAATTACCATGTCAACAGTAATATTTCCCAATTGAACTTTTCCATACTCTGACTTAAGCTTCTTCAGGCGCTCCTGCAACAAAATGAAAAATAAGAAACTATGAATGCTTGTACCAATCTGCAAGAACTAGCTTCATCAGATTTTGAACAAAAACTTGTTGCGACAAAGTTACTTGAGTGTAAGGTGCAAGCACCAAAAAGTTAAGACATAAGAGCAATTATCATTGCTTTTTAAACGAGGAAATACATACCTGTTGTTCTGGGATCAATTCCTTCAGCTGAGAATGAAGGTCCTAAAAATTCAAGAGAAAGAGAGAGAGAGTAAGAATCACTATAAAAGAAAACAAAGCAAATCAAATAACAAATTGCAACAGAAACCACATTGGCCCGCGTCAAAAACATCAAAACCCTAAACACCATCCCGATGATTTTTAAGATAGGAGAGAGAAGAAAAGATGAGTACAAGATCAGAAGAGATGGTCTGCGTTTGAATCCATCTGAAAGAATTGCTGAGGTTTGACTGTTTCTGAACCTGATGCTGCTGCATTAATCCAATCCAATCTAATCAAATCATCCTTCTATCCAAAAATAAATAAATGGAGGCTTGTAAAGAGAGAGAACAACAGAATTTACAGCATGAGAACGAAGCCTGGAAAGAAGAGGAACGCTTCGAAAGAAAACCATGGCGAGCAATCAATCACCTACACAGTCAGTCAATGAACCAAAAAAGGTTTAGGTTTTGACTAAATGAAGAATTGATCAAAAACTACTCAATCGAACGATAAAATCATGCAGGTGATCAAAGTAATACCCAATAATTGAAACGGAAGTGCAGAGAAATGGAGGATGGAGAGAATGTTAATCGTAGACGATCAATTTTAGATCTATGAAATGCTTTCGGCGTTGTCTAGTCTTATTGCAAATTAAACCTTCACTTGATTGAACATTCCATTCCAATTACCATGAGTTAATACCGATATTTTTTCCCTATTTTATTTTGTTGACCAACCTACAAGTCAAACCCTAATTTTAGTTTTTTTTTTTCCCCAAACACTGTGAAACACTGAAATTTATTTTATATCATTGACACGAGAGATTCATCTATTGATTAATGAGTTTTTATTTGTTTTTAATTTTCTTGGATTTAATTTAAAAAATATATATATAAAACTAATGTTAGATGTGTGTTTTTAAAATGATTCGAACAAAACATGATTTACAATGTGCGCTCCAGGCGAGTTTTGCTTCGGTTATGCCACAATAAGCATCTCGCACCTGGCATCAAGGGCGATTCTCCTGTAAATAAATATTGGTGCCACGGTTTTCAGCTTTTTTTTTTTTTTTTTTTTTTTTGTTAATCCAGTCAAAGCGAGGGCAACAATCCCTTGCCGACCAGTTATGCGGAAACGTGCAGATTTTTGCTGATGTGATTGACTTCAACTTTTATTTATCCAAATATAATGAAAAGTGCCTGGTCAAAACTCGATACCTCTTTGAAATTTGAATATGTGGCACGCTCATGCATGATCTGTCCAAAGGGCAAATAGCCTGACAAATATAATTATTATAATAAACTCTATTACTTTACTTTATGGCCAAATTAAACAACGATTGTTTTCTTTAATTGCATTATTTTATGGACACATTGAAAAATCATTCATTTATTTATTTATTTATTCTTGAACCACTTTTTAGATTGTCTGAGTTTTTTTAAATCTCTAAGGCGATCGATATAGGGTGAAAAAATGAGTTTTCTTTGTGTGAAACATCCTTGCTCGACTTCCTGGTGATCTCTACCTCTGCTTGCTCACCGGAAATTGAGCGGAGCAGGTAGTAAGTTACCTGCTATTTTTTCTTATTAACAATCAAATAGGCTTGTAATTGGGTCTCACGTCTTAACTTTTTGGTGCTTGCACCTTACACTCAACTAACTTTGTCGCAACAAGTTTTTGTACAAAATCTGATGAAACTAGTTCTTGCAGATTGCTACAAGTATTCATAGTTACCACCAGAAAATAACAAAAACATAAAGCAAAACATGTTATCAACCATAATTTATAATAGACTTGAATGTACTAAAATTCAAAGAAACTAATCGAAACTTAAATGTACTAAAATTTTAAAAAACATGATGATGTATTATAGTCAAAACTAAAATTCTGGACACGCTTAAGCTAACATATGATTTACATATGATTTACATCAGAAAATTAAACTGCAATCACTAACACATGACTCATTTTGCTTCCATCTCAAAGAAACTAATAGTGACTTCAATGTACTAAAATTCAATCCATGAATGATTGCATGCAGCAGCTGGAAAATCCACCCACCTTCTCTTTTCTCACCCCTCAAGTTTGATTCTTAGCTTTTTTTGACTGATTCTCAGTCTCAAGTTATATTAGAACATGTGGACGAGGTGGTTTGCATGTAATGGTAAATTATTCAACTAGGAAATAAAAATTCAGATTTCAGAATTGATAAATTACAAAGTCCACCGAAACCCTTCTTTTTCTTTGAAGCTGAGAACAATTTTAAACCATACTCGATGAAATTTGTGAGAATTAGAGAATTTTTCCATTAACTACTATCCTTCAACAAACTCTGGAGTCAAATTAAGAAAGGCCTTGTTATTAGTTTTCCACAGCTGTCTCATTCCCTAGATTTTTCTTCATCTAGAACTTTATTCGTAATATATAGTTTAATTTGTTTCTCAGAGTCAACTTTGAAATTATAGATGTAATTTGCAAGTCCTTAATTATTTTGCAGTAACCCTTGATTGGATGGCGAGGAAAGTTTTGTTGAGAGAAAAATCGGAATCACTTTTATTAAATTGCCATTTCATCATCAAATTATTTCATGCATTATTCATTGTTATTGCTTTCATGTATTCGTGGATTAACATGTTCATTGTTATTGCTGAAGCATAGAGTAGGAGGGCTAGAAATTGATGGAAATAGATTATTAGACTCTAAGTATAGATGTCATGCTAGGAAGGGAAAATTTTATAATTTTGGTCCTGCACTGCACGATCATTTTATATCAGGTTGCACAGAGTTTATGCAAATAAACTCGTTATAAACTAAATTCATCTAATAATTTGTTCTTGACCACGAAGAAATTTAATCTTGATATATACACAGAACCTTATCCAAAAATAACCTAGACATTATAATTAAAATAAATTGGTAAATTAATCATCCCTATGCTAAATTTATCTATATTCCTACAATCCACAGAATACACAGAATCACAAATTTTTTAATGCAGAAAAAAATCAACCAAAATACCACTCTAAGCTCAAACTCTAATTTTTTGTAAGGATACACCAGCAAATACACAAAATCACAGTGCATATGTTAAAATTTTTTATTTTTTTATTTGCTTCAAATTATTTTTTTTATATTTTTAGATTGTTTTAATGAGTTAATATTAAAAATAATTTTTAAAAAAATAAAAAATATATTATTTCAAAATAAAAAATACTTTAAAAATACATTGCTTGTACACACTCAAACTCAAGGTTGTCAAAAATGCTTTTTTGACACAATATAAACTCGAATCGTAAAATTGCGAGTAAAATATTTTAACTACAATCTTAAAATCACAAGTAAAATATTTTAACTAAATTGCAAGATCCAGTCAAGTAGTATATAATAATATAACACTATTAAAATAGAAGTAAAATTTAACTAAATTGCAAGATCCAGTCATGTGTGTTAAAATTGTTTTCGTTTCCTTATAGGTCACCGGTCTTTATTCAGATTCTAAATATGAACAAGTCCAAGTGGATTGAATAGAAAGATGCTCTTAATTAATAACATTTTGTTTTACCTGTCGATATAATTATGTAAAGCTGCACATTATAAACTCCTAACATCATTGTTCTAATTGTTCATTAATTTCAAATAGAACTTTAGTCCTAAAAGTGTGTGACATAAATTGATGGCACTAGGTTTTGCATGAAACACATAGCTAAACAACAAATATATATAAGCATGAAACAACTGATAAAATGGGACACTCTGATTGTTTAGGAATATAATCAGTATCTTTGTTCTGTTTCCCAGTTTTTCAAATAGCATATTTGTTGGCTATGGTCTGCATTATATAATTTCTTGTTCCTCACCTCGCCCAATTAAATGTTATGTGATGAAAGACTGTTGAGAAATGACTGCTAATTGGATCAAATTTCTGATTTTTCTATGCAGTGATGAACTGGGTCGTTTTGTTGCTAATAAACATTGCCTAAGAAGCCTTAAGATGGAAGGGTGTTCTAATCTGGGGGCAAAATATGCTTATAGAGAAGACAACCCTAGCTAGTCAAAACACACACACACACACTGGTTTGATTCTAGGCCAGCAGCAGCAGGAGCTTAACTTGAACACGCAAACTAAAAGCTTTTGCTTTTGCTATGCTATGCTATGTTATCCAGTTATCCTAGTGATCATCTTATCAGTGTCAGCTATAAAAAGGGATCCAGGCATCCAGCTGCTAAAAGCTTATTTTGGAATCTTTCTACCTTTCTGCTAAATTACATAACCTGATTAAAAAGGTATATACTAATTAATTACATAGCCATGTCAGCTGGAGTAGTTTCATATGAAATTGTATTTTGTAATTAAATCTTTCATGCAAGATTTCTAAAAACTGTTGTTGTATATATGTGATTGCAGGGATGATCACGGCTTTTGTAGCATAGAGTGCACAAATAGGCAGATGGTTTAAATAGTGCAGGGATGAACTGAGAGAACTAGAAGCATCTACCAATGAAAGATTAAAATCTTATGAGCACTGCAGTACCAATGCTAAATTACATAACTTTTTCATATTCCTAATTTTCCTCCTTTGAACAAACTTTGTGCTAAACAGATAATTCAATGGAAAGGGATAATGTAATATAGCAGAACGCAAGTTACTAATGGGATTTTTTAAAGATTATTTGTCACATCAAACAACAGATAGAGACGATTAACAACAACAACAACACTATATTTGCCAGATGCTGGCGTCATGTTTTACAAATGATACGAGTCATATGACCATTAACAACAACAACAACACCACTGTATACAGCCAGAAAAAAGACATGCCCTCTTCTACATAATAAAACATGACAGAAAAGATGAGAATCCAACAAGCAAACCTGGTTATATATTTGCGCTGCTGGTGAGTGGAGAGTCGAGACTTGAGATTTTACGTTGCTGAATGTGTGAATGCTAATGTTAATTTGTTAGGACTGGGACTTGAGATTATGAGAATTTGAGATTTGGGGAAACCTTGAAAGGGGCCGAAAGAGGAAAGGAGAAAAGGGTGGGTGGAGTGTCGGGCGCAATTACTTGGTATTAGAAAAGAATCAGTGAAAGCGACGCGCCTTTCTCATTCCTCTTTTAAGATTTTCAAAGAAAATCGCTTCATTTTCGGAAACCAAGATTAAAAATGTCGGGGCTCAAGCGATGCTTGGGTTCCTCCTTAAAAGAGGAATGAGAAAGGCACAAGAGAAATAATGAGTTTTTATTTGTTTTTAATTTTTTTAGATTTAATTTTAAAAAATGATATAAAACTAACGTTAGATGTGTGTTTTTAAAATGATTCGATCAAAGAATTTAGTCTAAATTATTATATAAATTAATCTAAATATAAATATATAAGAAAAAGCACAAGAGAAATAATAAACTGACCAGTGACCTCATTTCATTGGAAAGAATCTACGCTAAAAAGGAAGTGAAAACAGACTACGGTAAATTAAGAGTCCCACTGAAAATTATATGACCATAATTAATGAGAATACAGGCACACGCAGCTATTTTCAGAATTAGCTAAAAACAAAGGAAAAATCAACCACCCATGTCACAAATCTGAACAAAGAATTGGACTTTAGCACACAAATAGCCCAATAACATAATTCATAACAGGGTATGAACCAGAAGATTCAGTAATGGTAAAGGAAACCCACTTCAAATTCCAACTCTAACAGCTAAGAATAAACACGAGAGATTGA